GACCGCAAAAGACCAGACCTGCGGTTACGGTCTTTTATTTTTGATTAAAGGGTATTTAAGGGGCTACAAAAGACCGGTCCAAACCGGTCTTAACCGGTTCACGTTAACCGGTTTTTTTGCGGTCTTTACATTTCAAAAATAAAAGACCATAACCGCAGGTCTGGTCTTTTGCAGTCTTGGTCCGGTCTGGTTACGGCCTTTTTCCAGTCACGAGACCGGACTTCTAAACACTAGTTTGACTTGGTCTTGGGTGGAGACTGGAAGGGCCTGATGAAGGAGCTCGGCTCGGCTACGGGTGTTATCTTTCCCGTGGCATTGGTACGTTTATCTTAGGACTTGAACGGTTGTTGACACATATTTCAGCAATGTTCCATCGTTCATGGTCCTATCCCCGCCTTCGAAGTCAGAGAACAGACATCTCGGAGGTCCGCATCTGTAAGCATTGTCTCATGGTACAATGCCCTTTCTGTTATTGATAAGTGTTTTAGCCTCCAGCCGGGCGCAGGTCCTCTGGTGGCGGCGACAGTGGGGGTCATGAACACGTGGAGCCAGCTGTAAGTTGACATGCCTTGACTTAAACATTATAATCACAAGGACATCTAGGGGCCATTGCCAACCTTTGATCTACCAAATTGCTCTCTGCACATTGACAATTTAAACACGGAACATGTTCAATTTAAATCTTTAATCTGTGACCCGAGCTCTTCTTTTTCGTGTTGGGTGGCAGCAGCTCTGCTGTTGTGGAGGCACTTAGACTTCATGGTGTTTTGTATGAGGGTCTCAGTGGCGATGCCTGTCGAGCTGCTCTTGTTCATCATCTCTTTTATGGTCATTGCTATCGTCATGCAATGACCGATTGTCGGGCTGTCACGCAGATGTCGACAAGTATGGTGTCTCTTGCCACCTCTCTATCTGAAGAAGTGTTAGCATTGTTTCGACGTTCCAAGCTCCCTTCTGGGATATTCCAGGATTTATGTCTGTTGTTGGGCTTTTGAAAGGAGCAGGCTCGTTCAAAGTCAAACATGCTTAGTGTTTGGAAGTCCGGTCTCGTGACTGGAAAAAGACCGTAACCAGACCGGACCAAGACCGCAAAAGACCGGACCTGCGGTTACGGTCTTTTATTTTTGAAATGTAAAGACCGCAAAAAAACCGGTTAACGTGAACCGGTCTTGACCGGTTTGGACCGGTCTTTTATAGCCCCTTAAATACCCTTTCAAACGCACCCAAGAACGTACGATTTGGTAAAAAAACAAGAGAGATATGAATTAAAATGTAAATTACTTTTGGGAATAATAGATGTACCAGACTTATTTTATAGAAGCACCAATTCCTAAGGGAATTTAACGTTCTTGGGCTCGTTTTGAAGCTATTAGAGATGTTAATAAATTTACCGATTCATAATTTAAAAATATTGGCCTAAAGACCGGTCATAAACCGGTTAAAACTGATGCAGACCGAAACCAGTCTATAGACCGCAAAAAACCGCGGTCTGCGGTCTTTTTGCGGTCCGGTCTGGTCTTTTGACTTCTGGGGAAAAGGCAGACCGGTTACGGTTACGGTTAACGCCCCTGGGCATCAAAAAACCGGACTGAACCGGACTTTCAAACACTAAGTCAAACTCTTGATGTTTGCCTGAGACAAGCAGGGATATAACGCATGTAGGCCAGCTATCACCAATCTTCACGAAGACTGCAAGATCGGCACACTCCCCAGAGAAAGACAAGCCCAAACGGTTCAAGCAAGCAATGGACACATAGGATCAAGGACCACAGGAAAGCTCAGCAGAAACGGGAGAGCCGTCGAGCTCGAAACAAAAGGACATGGTGGAGGAACACGAGAAAGAGGAAGGCTCGAACCCAAACCGAGTCACTCAGAAGGGGCCAAACATGGCTAAACTTACCCACGCAAGAGCTTTGCTGGTCCGTAGGATAAGACCTGCTAACTATGTAGCAGGCATTTCTGTGACATCCCTTTCAAATTAGGAAAGTTCACGCCAAGGGGGTGTCAGGATCATAATCCCGGACCAGGGGCCAGTTGGTTGGTTGGGCTATCAGGCCGTTAAAAAAAAATTGGAAGCTCAAAAATTTTGGCCCAAAAACATTATGGGCAGCCTTCCTGGTGGATAAATTATACATTATAGAACTAGAAAGCCTCAAGATGTGCTAAATGCCTTGGGATGTGCCACTGAGACTGCTTACAATAGTAATATCAGACCATTGATAACTTTTGTTAGTGTGGCAACTGTTACAGCAAGGAAACATGAGGTTGGTGTGAAAAAGGAAAACGTAAGGATGTTGATTAGAGGATTGCTTTTGTGGATCCCAAGCAGAGCTGACCACTGGCAATGTGATCCAGTGGGATGTGAGACTGTGTGGTCAATTGGTAAACCCACTTTCTGTTAGGGTTTCAACATAAAACGTACTTACATCTTCATGTCAAACCATTCTGATATCACCTCATTTGTATTTACCTTGTGTAGGTGCCCATGCATTGNGTCTGCAATGCATGTTCAACATCAAGAGGCCCAAGGACAGGAAGACGACATCACAACAGTGACATCATATTTCCTAAAATAGACATGTGCCTGA